ATCTAAAAGATAGATCTAGAAAGTCTTAGCTAATTCATAATCTTGCGTAATCTGTGACAACAAGCTACAGAAACCAAAATGCCCTGAATAAAAAAAACAGCACTGTTAGCAGTCCTGTCCTTTGAAGTCTGTAAAAATGTTCTTCAAATTTCTTTAAATAATTTATTATGCGATGTTTAAGACTTACAAAACCGCGGCAAGACTCCTATAATGAACACTTACGTACCCACCACCCAGTTTCAGAAACAAAGCTTGACTCAGAGTTGAAGCCGACCGCTTCCCTTCCCTCCTTGCAGCCCCCCCTTTCCTAGAAGTCACCCTTAACCAGCACGCCCTCTATTCCACTCTTTTTAGCGATAGGGGACTCCTGACCATGGGATGTGTCTCCCTGGGACTCCCAGAGTCAAGTCCTCACCTTGAGCTTGCTCTCCAGAAGATGTTTGTGTTCTGGCCCTGCCGCCCTGCTGGCCTCGCCCCGCCTCCCTGACACTACACCAGACACTGCTGGGCGTGCCTCTCCAGAGGCCTGGGGCACTGCCACTCCCATTTCATTGTGGATCTTCCCATGGACATCCTTCATCTCATCCGCTGAGATCACAGAAGGAATAGTACTTCTGCTCGGCAGTGAACAGATCTTTAAAATAAAATGTACTGTAGTTTCATATTATTTGCATTATGTCTCATGGCAGTTATTGTATACACACCTGTCTCTTCCACAACACTTGATGCTCTGAAAGAACATGTATCTCATGTCATTAAATTCAGCAGTCAGTAAATACTTAAATTTTTCCCGCGAGAATATTGGTCATTCTTTATGACCATGAACCTGCCCTACACTTCAGTATTTTACAAACAGGAGCCATTTATGCTCTCTGAGACTCCTAAGGCAATCTAATTTTGGTTTATCATGGTTGGAAATATTCATGTATCAGGTGCTGGTCAATTTTTGACACTGTCCTACTTTGTATGTTACAGTGGCACATGCTTTAAAATGTCAAAGTCATGTTTCTTTTTGTTTTATCTTTTAGGTATTGCTCTATGGAGATTTGCCAAAAAATAAAGAAAATATAATATATTTAGCAAATCATCAAAGCACAGGTTTGTATTTCATTTGCATGAAACAAGTTTTTCTGCAGAGAGTACATAGGCATTCAAAGTAATATTCTTACATATTTAAATGAAAAAAAGTTGTTAGTGTTGAAACATGAATTTTCAATGCACATATTATACATGACCTTGTATTTTTATGATTTTACTTTTTTGGAAAGTGAGGAATGTGAAAGCTATGAATTTCCTATACTTCCCTTTTCCCTCCAATGGGTATAAATAAGCTTTCTTTCTTTCTTTCTTTCTTTCTTTCTTTCTTTCTTTCTTTCTTTCTTTCTTTCTCTGTTTCTCTGTTTCTTTGAATAGTTCTCTAAATAGTCTATGCATTCTTCTTTTTGTAATAAGTTATGTTTCTGGAAGTGGAATTGATAGATCAAGGGTATATCCATTTTATATTTTTGATTTTTAAGTACAGAAAGTTTGCGCCAATATGCAAGTCCTCGTTTCCTAAATACAGTATTGGTTTCCAGTGTCTGCGATTCCTTTTGCCTCTTCAAATGTTTTAGTTTAATAATCGCTTGTTACTATATAAGAGGAATCACAGAAGACTATGGTATCCAATATAGTATAGTACTTTAAATCAGGTCAAGGGACTTCTTTTGAAAACTATTTTGTAATAATTATAGATTCACAAGATTTTGCAGAAATAGTACGCCGAGTCCCATGACCCCTTCACCAAGTACCCCCCAGTGGCGACATCTTATATAACTGCGTACAGTATCAAAACTTAAGAAATTGACATTGGTTCGGGTAATTTTTAGTTCAACAAAGAATTCATTTCAAAAATATCCCACTTCATATTTTTTCAAACCTGTAACTGCTTTTAATGCATACTTCCCAAATTCCATTTTTATTGCTTTGAAAAACACAGCACCCAGAAGTGAACGCTGGAAGCAACCTTACCCATGATGATGACTGACCGGAAATCCCTTATGCCTGTGGCTGCCCTTTATCTTCCTGCTGCCAGCGGTCGCTTTGTGGCTTATTTGCTTTATTTCTGCCTATACCACAGATACGGTACAGAAAGGAAGAGGAGTCAAACCTGTCTTTCTCACCTTAGCAATGATTACATTCAGCTTTACAGGACGAGTGTTGATGTTACAAAGCATTGATAGGAATTTTAATGTATCTGTGTAGTTTCACTCTTATCAGCATGACTGGCTCGGAGGATTTGATTTAATTGCACTTGACCTGAACAAAGCAGCCAGTTTATGGTCAGCGTCTGCTTCTAACTGGCCCACAGAGTAGCCTCACTCCTTCCTTGCATCTTCCTCCAGATGCAAGCGGGCTTTTTACTAGAGCCACAGTCTTGCTGTTCCTGTCCTGTTGCTGATGGCATTTCTACCAGAGTTCCGGTATCCAGATACAGAGGACTTAATGGGTCCAGGCTACAGAATGGCTCCTGATGGCCCAAGTTCCCTTTATGTTGGTCCAACGGTTAATCTCATTCATAGCGTTTTCTTTGTGTTTACCAGGATTCTCTCCTAAAATTCCTTGTCGGGTTCTCTACCAGCTTTCCCTTTTCCAGGTTTCAGTGGAAGTGCAGCTCTACTAAGAGCTGTGGTAGTAGTGTGCTCCTGTGGAGTAAGTCCTCTGAATATTCCCGGAGGTGGAGCAGTAATAATAATAAAATTACAACCACTGCTGTCACTGGTGTGCTTACTATGCGCTGGCCATTGTATCCATCACTCAGAGTGAGGACTCCTGGGAAAACATTTGGAAGGAAACAGATTTTTAAAATTCTTCTTGAGTTTGGAACTGGAAGGTCGCCTGGGAAGCATGGGCGTCACCGCCAGCCCACAGCTGACGACCTGGAAAGGCTCCGTGTCTCAGTGTGAAGAACCGTCTCCCGTCCCTCGCACCTGACCTCCCAGGGCCCTGCCTTTCCAGTAGAGGTCAGCTTTGCGGACTTGAGAAGGCTGCTCTGTAATGCCTTTGTGTTTTAATATGTAACTTAGGAACATAACTAGGTAGTGGTTTTAAATTATTTTAGCATCGCAGACTTCAGTTAGAATATAATAGAAGATATGGAGCCTTTTCCCAGAAGAAAATGGGCACCTAAAACTTTCCATGTGGCATTAGGGTCCAGGGACCCCTAAAGCTCATCCGTGGGCTTGGGCCATTGACCTGTTGTGTCCAGGTCCCTGTTTTAAAACCCTGTTGAGGTAGTAAGAATCACAACTGAGTGTCTCAAAACGTACGTCGCAGAAAGCACACTCCAAGGACTGCTGTTCACCTTACACTTGTAGTTCACCCTCGCTAGGCCAGCCGAACATAAGCCTCATCTTGGCCCAACGTCCCCAAGAATTGAGCCCCTGTCCCCCATTTTCACGTGATGAGTCCTTGCTGTCTCTTCAGTCACCCCTTTTCCCTTTCTCTCCAGTCAGCAAGGATGTACTGGCTGTTACTCTTCCCTCGCACCCTTCTTTAACTGTCTTCTTTGGACTCTACTTCCCTCGTTACTCTCATGAAACACTCCCTTGGTTTATGTGACGTTTTTCTAAACTAACGTGTGTGGTGAGTAGATTGTAATAAAAAGCCCTGGGCTTTGGGCTCAGAGAAAGCCTGGTTCATATACTCTTCTGCAATGGGCTGTGTGATGGTGGGCAGATTACTTAGCCTCTCTGAGCCTTATTGGTAAAGCATGAGTAATATCTACTCAGGATTTTCAGGCAGTTTACATAGTTGCCTCATAATCTCAGAGTGCCTGGCTGATGGGGGCATTTAACAGCAGGAGTGATGACGCCGGTGATGAGAGCTCACCAGGGTTCCGGATCCGTGCCAGGTGGGCACTTTGTGTGGCAGCCCTCGCAGACTGCACTATCCCCTTATGAAGTGACGTCACATAGCAGAGATGAGGGAGCTGCCTTTCTGCCTGCCTCTCCTCGCCCGCCCCCCGCTCTCTTCCAAGTAATGCGAACAATGGCTCTGCTGTGGCTGGATCACCATGGAAGAGTTCTTATATAGCTGTATTTCCTGATAATTAAATCATTTATACACAAAATGTGAATGTAAAGGTAAACTATATTACCATCTCAGCTGTCAGTAACAGCTTTATCTAGTGTCTCCTGTCTGAAACCTAGTTGAGAATGAGCAGAAAAAGTAAAAAAGATAATGGAGTAGCAAAATCGATGGTGCAAAGCTTGTGTCTTTTGACTACCTACGTTAGTTTGTAAACGTTCCTAGTACAATTTTCGAGAGTTTAAGGGCCTAGCCCAGGACAGTTCATTACAAACATGACATTGAAAAAGTTTTACACTTTCTCTTAAAAGTTTTTGGAAGATACATTCTAGTCCATAATATAACCACGTATATTTTAACCTAAAAATGCATTTAAAAAATTTTCCCCAACTTTAATTGTTTAGGAAAAGATATCAAATCTTATTTTTAGCCTTGTGTTCCAAATATGTTCCAGGTTGTACATTATCCTGGAAACCATACTTTTAGTTCTCACAATTTATTCAGAGCTGATTTACGAGTATATTAGGTACAGTTATAACAAGCTTGATTATTTGGATTCCAGGACACGACTAGAAGGAAAAGTTTTTATCAGTGACTGTCTAGTTGATTTGAACTAGAGGGAAGGGGACAGGGCGTCTATAGGAAGTTGCATACTTAGAAGTAACAATTGATAGTTCCATAGCGTAGGTCTCTCCAGCTGGTAGACACCGTGCAGGAATTCAGTGTAGGGGAAAATCTTCGCACAATAATTAAAGGGAGCCGTAATAGAATTTATATATGTAATAATTATAACTCTTAAACCATCATGAAAGAGTTAACTTGTGAATGATAAGATTTAAAAGGGGAGTTCTAATAATTGATAAAATGTTTTTCCAAGACGATGATGTTTAGTGTTTAGATTGGGTAAATGTTCCTTGGGGTATTCTGTCTAATGGTGCATTGGTGTAAGGATTTCACAGAGCTTATAGTTAATCGTCCTGGAACTGTGCGAAACTGTCCCTTTTGGTTAAAACTTGATTGTAACTCCTTTAAGTTCTGTGTTTTAACTTCAGACAGGTTTTTAGTTTGTATTTTTGAAAACATTTTCCCCCTTGGATTCACTTCTTTTATTCTCATTTCCATAGCCCTGAATACACTTATGATCTTAGGACTATATTCCTGTCACAAATTCTTACCAATTTTTTCCCCCAAGTATCCCATTGTCTAGTTCATCCGTACATACTAGAAAACTCTCCCTTACATTTCTTTTTTTATTATTTTCATTCTCGTCAAGAGATAGGGCAGTTGCAGCCGTTGACTTTCAAATCCAGACCTCTCTGGTCTTGGACACCCTTTACCCTTTGCCTTCTGCATGTCGTTTCATTTCCTCTCAGTCTCCTTTAACGGCCTCTGTTTACCATCTTCTGCGCTCCATTCGGTTTGCTGGCTCCTGTTTCTTGGCAAGGCCGGGTCCTCCTGTTCGGAATGTCTTCTTTTTGCAAGCCAGTTAACAGCTTACTTGTTGCCACTAATGTTCTTGTTGTTATCAACTCACTCGGGCCTTCTTATTTTTGCTTTTGCAACCTTTTAGTAATAACGTATCCATGTACCTAGAGGCGTTAGCAGCCTGGGTACGGGTGGTGTATGTCCACCTAGCACAATTGTAAGCTGTGTGAGGTCTTTGTTTTGAATGCTGCCATAACCTAGCCTTGGGTCCCGAAACTCCCTAGTAAAGGGTCCTTGCCTTTCGTGGGACATATCAGTGCACATATAGAATATTGAGTTGCACGTGACAGTTTCATTTAACCATTTTTTGTTTATCAATTTGTCACGTTTTCTAGGCTAAGAATTAGGGAAGCTTATTTTATTCCTTGTTCATGCTTTTGGATTAATTTGGGTGGTTTGTGACTTTTGACTTGTTCATGAAAAAAGTCTTTCAAGAAATGCAAAAAACAATCCAACAGCAACAAAAATAAAACCCAAAAAGCACAGATTTTTTATTTTTTTAAATTCCTGGTGTTGATATAAAGTAATTTTAAAATTCTGATGGTATTTTCAAAGCATTTTCCTTACACAGTGCTGTGGAGAAGTTTGTTCTGCCTGTGAAGGGAGTGCTGGGTTCAGCTGTGGATCGCGGGTGCTCTAACCAGGTTCTGTCTTCGCAGTCGACTGGATTATCGCTGACATTTTGGCCATCCGGCAGAACGCCCTGGGGCATGTGCGCTACGTGCTGAAAGACGGGCTCAAATGGCTTCCACTCTACGGGTGTTACTTTTCTCAGGTAACTTTTCCCACGCTATTTTCTGTATAGATATGTAGCTTATACAAATTTTAGATTTTAAAATTTAGCATGCACTTAATTTGAATGTCTGGGTTTGGGGTGAGGGTTATTTTTATGAGTGTAATAGCTTCTTCTAAATTGAAGTCATTTTAATTCATGTTTAATAAGGTGTATTTATGTACCTGTCTGATTATCCAGATAGTAAAATAGCAAAAATGCAAATGTACAAAAATCAAACAAGTAGGAAAATTTAAAGGCATAGGATTTGATAGACAAATACCATAAGAAACTACTAATAAAAGTAATTATCTGTAGGATATGAGAAAAACAATGAGCTATATACATAAATACTTAGCATGATTGCCAGGTGCATAATAAATATTCAACACATGTTATTTTCCAAGATGCCTTTTAAAATTACATAATAACCTTCAGGTCATGAAACTGTGTAACAGGCTCTTTTATATTCAGAAAGGGATTACTAGCATTTTTCTATGCCTTTTCTGAATAAATTATCTGATACTGAATTTTTTAATTATCAAGTATAAAATTTGTATGGAAATCATGCTTGGTAATAAGGCTTTAATAGTAGATTAAAAAAGAAAGGCTAACGTTAAACAGCTCTGAAAATACGTAGATGTGAAAGTCAGCGCCTGGCCGGAAGCCAGCTGGCCCCTCAGTTTCTGCTCCCCGGAACTCCTGACCAGTGTGTGTGTGTGTGAAGTCGGAGTGCTCGCATCCTCGCGCCTCTCCTCTTTTCCTGAGTCTTTCAAAGGAAAGTAAACTTCATACGTATTTTGATGGAAAGTATTTTAAACTACTGAGTGTATATGAAAAGTGGAATAGATTACTAAAAGGTGGACTTTATGCCAGGAAGTAAATTTTCCTTTTAGAAGGATTCGTTTTCCACAATTTCTGTGAAGCAGAAATAATGCTATTTACAAATAGTTATTTACAAGCAAAATATGAGGAAACAGACTTTCAAATTTTGAATTTCTTATTATTGTAGTTACAAAATACCAACTCTTTTCTCTGAATAGAAAAATACTTATTAATATAGTACAGATATTCAGAAAAGTGAACATTTTCAAACTGCCAGCTTGTGAACATTGCAAGGCTTGGTTTCACTTTTCAATCCGTAACACAGTTGCCCCCACCCCCACCCCTGCCCTCAAGTAACCGAAAGCAGGCGTCTCAGGAACCTTATTGTTGTGTTACATTTTAAAAATTAAAAGTGCCAGGGAGTGCTTTTGCTTATTGAAGCCCTGTGAAGATAACTGGAGATTGGTATAACAGCTGTGATTGATGTCGCATTTCGTCGCTGATGTCATTTGTAACTGTGCACCCGTTTTTTGTTTTGTTTGTGCAGTAAAGCTGGTGGCATTTTAAGTAGATCACAGATGACTATTAAGTAATATATGAATTATAAATCATATTCTTCATGGAAAGAATTGCCATTTCTCCCAGTGGTTGTATTTTTACATTTTTGCTTATATGTGTTCTCCCTTTATTCTTTTAAACACAAAGGTCACTATTATACTTAAGTAATATTTAAAACAGAGTATTTTGGACTTCATTAGTCCTTCCTATAAAATGGTGAACATACCTATAAAGATTAATTGATTTTATAGCAGATGTAATTGCCTGATTGTTAAGGCAAGTTGAGGAAGGCTTGACATTTCAGAAGTATAGTTAGGGGAAGGAAATGTGCTTTTCCTGAGACTTCGTTGCCTGGGTTCCCTGATGAGGAGTCCTTGGGGTAAAGTTTTTATGTGGAGGGAAGAATATCTATGAACAGAGTCTATAATGTTTTGCAATTGTAAAGGAATAGGAGGAGGCCAAGGCACCGTTGGAGGTAAAAAGCCAGTGTGCACCGAAAGTCCCCAGGCAGCTGCTGTGGCCTCATTTCCCTCTTTCCTTCGTTTCTGTTTTTCCAGGATCCTTTCTTTCTCTTCCCCCCTTGACCTTCTCAACCCTAAGACAGGCTGGGTTCTCAAAAAACCACAGAGGAGTTTTAAGAAACATCTGAAGACCAGCCTTAGACATTAGAGCCCCTGGCCGGAGCCTAGTTTGGGGGATTGGGAGGGTTATAACCGGTTAAGTAGTGATGGGGGGGGGCGTATTGCACAGAGTAGACTGGGGATCTCGGATCTTTTTTTAAGAACATTAAGCTCCCATGACCAACCTTAGAAGTTTTTACTAACTTGAGAGCAAACTGAACATTTTAGTCCCCTCCTTGAGGTCCCTAAAGCTGACTGGGGCTTTAGCCAGGGTTCTCCGTAGCCTGGCATGTGCCTGCCAGGCTGCACAGCGTAACTCACACCACGGGCCCGGGAATTTTACTTTAGTTTTGGACTGAATAGATGTGCCCTGTTCTTTTGTTTCTCTGGGAGAGGGGATCAAAAAAAATGCCAGTGTGCTCACCGTCTCTGCAAACTCCCGGCGGTGCCGAAGGTCCTGCTACGCTATGCTGGAACTCCGACACAGCTGGCAGTTTCTGTCTGCAGCCTACAATGACGCTTTAGTTGCTTCTCAAACCACACATTTGGTCAAGCCACTGACCTGCTCAAAACTGTAGCAGGCCCCGGTTCCTTGCATGTCACCTCATGCACCATGATCTGTCTCCATGACCTGCCTCTCTAGCCCGAGTCTGTTTCTCACCTCCATATCCCTCTTCAAGCTGTTCCTGTAGTTTCACATAAACGCCTTTCCCCTTTGCCTTTAAGGCTCAGCTTAGAGGTCATCGTGAAACCCTTCCTGAGCCTGGCAGTCACTCGCCTCCTTCTACCCTGCTTTGGTTTGGGGCTGTCTTTATTAAAACACTTACCAAATCCTCTTTATATCTTACGTGTGTGCATGTTGCACTTCCTGACCGATCGGTAAGCTCCTCAAGGAAGGACACCTGGTCTTCACTTCCATGTCTTCCATATACCTGTGAAGAGCTCCTCAGACATGTTGATTTCATAAGCAAGTTAAACGATAGTGAAGAAATATTATGTAAAGAATAGATATAATGTCAGTGGAAGCTTAAGGAAATTTTTGCATTATCTGCGTTCTGTGGCTTTTAGTTCTGAAATGAACTTACTGCCATCAGCCCTGTCTGTTTGGGTAAAGAGTGACATACCTTCTAGAGAGCACTTTGAGCTGCTTCTCTGCACTCAGCCAAGCCAGTTCATACGCGGAAGGAGCCACGACCAGAAGCGAAGGCCACTGCGCGTGCCCTCCGCCTTGTACTGTCCCCTCCGTGCTTTTCTCTGCCCATTTCATTTTACTCATATTCTTGAATAAGACAAAGTCAAATTCACCCCGTCCATTTATTTTACAGATGAATTCAGATTAGCACAGAGGAAAGCAAAAACAATGCAGACTTGATGCAGTTTCAATGACATGCACTTACGCAGTTTAAGGTTACCTGAATTTTTATGGAAGTGCCTGTATTCGTCTGCTGGGGCTGCCTTACCAAGACACCACAGACTGGATGGCTGTAAACCACAGAAATGTATTTCCTCACAGAGCTGGAAGCTGGAAGTCCAAGATCAAGGTGTTGGCAGGGTTGGTCTCTCTCGAGGCCTCCCTTCTTGCGTTGCAGTGGCCGCCTTGTCCGTGTCCTCCCTCTGCACGCATGTGTCCATGTCCTGATCGCCTCTCCTAAGGCGCCAGTCCTATTGGATGAGGGCACAGCCACCCGTAGGGCCTCATTTAACCTGAATTGCTTCCCTAAAGGTTCCGTCTCCAAATACAGTCACCTTGGGGTTGGGACTTCGCCACAAGCCTTTGGGGGACACAGTCCAGTGTACAGCAGTGCTGCTCACACATCTGTGCTGGGTCAGTTTTACAGACCCTGAAGAGCATGAGTGCTGGCATCTTAAGGACACCTTTTAGTGATTCTGTAATTCGTCAGTGGAAAAGTTGAGAACTAAAATCCATCTGATTGATCTAGTTTTTTATATTAAAAATGTATTTTTAAGAAAGAAAGCATTTTTAACTGCCAACAAAACTAAATGTTAATGTATTTTCCAATATAATATGCAGTTTTATTTGAATTGTGTTGAAACATAGGATTTACAGCTAATATTCCTTAGATGCTAATATTTGAATATTAAATATATTAAATAGTTTAATTTCTAACATGTAATTTTACTCTTTACTCCTCGGGACTAAAGTTACCTTTTAGATGCCTGGCCATTGGATACTCTAATAGTAAGTACTTTTTCCCCAATTGTTTTTATGTGGCAGCATGGAGGAATCTATGTAAAAAGAAGTGCCAGATTTAATGAGAAGGAAATGAGACAGAAGCTGCAGAGGTACATGAATGCAGGAACTCCGGTAAGACTGCGCTGTTTTATTATTTCCTTATCAGCTCTCATTTTCTCACTGAAGAATTTAATTGGAATTTAAGAGTTGTTTTGAAAATACATTATCCCATGTGTAATGAATAATTCCAAATTTTGTTATGACAACAACGCCCCTCTAAACCTAGGTGAGCGGTGGCTTTGGGCCAGCAGGAAGGTTGCTGCAGGCCAGTGGGTCCTCTGCTTGACCTTGAAGAGCAGTGGCAGGAAGAACACTGGTGTCTTTAGACTATAATTAGAAAACGGGACTCAGCTTGTAACCCTACACTTGAGCTGCTTAGAGCGCCTCTCACTCCTCGCTGTCTTTAGTATCAGATGGAGTTTTAGAAGAAACCAGTTTTCTTTCTGTGAGTATAAATTTGGGTTCCTTGTATATACTGAGTTATTTGAAAAGCCAAAAAAAGTATCAATATCCACACAGAATCGTTCAGTGTAAATACTATTTTATAAAGTTTTGCTCCCCCCTAAAAGAATCTTAGCCTTCTCTTTGAAGGATGCCAGTTGGCGCCAAATGGCCCCGCCCCTGGTCCTCTCGGACAGGGCAGCGCCCTGCAGTGACTGCGGGAGCTCCCTTCAGCCCCCAAAGCCCCGTGCAGAACACGGTTTGCATCCTGTTGCTCAGAAACTCAGCTGCAGGATCCAAGTGCCGCCCTTTTTCCTTTCTGTCCCCTGCCCCCTCCTCCCTCCCTCTTCCTCGCTTCTCACCAGGGTGCTCGTGGGTGGCAGCCAGCGCTCATATGGAAGGAGGTTTTCCAGTCAGCTGATGAAGTTCCCTACTGTATCAGCTTTTTACCTACAAACATTCTGTAGTTGAGTTTGCTCCTGCTTTGGGACGACCTGGAGTAGAATGGAATGAGATGAACGATGCCCATTTATCCTGCCCCTGCTCACCCCCCGAGAACAAAGCATAGCCTTTCGAAAGGGTCTGTTCAGTCCAAAACCATTTGGTATGTTGGGGCAGAATAGGGGTCATTGTTTATTGGTGTCTAAGACAGAAGAGATTGTCAATATGTATATCCACTTTCTTTTCAAAAAATTATTTAAAATTGTAGCATCAGCTTGCACATCAAAGAGTCCATCCCACTTCTCCCGTCCAGCCCCCTGGCCACCGCAGGCCACCGTGGCTGCCGGGAGGTTTCTCTGCCTCCTGCCATAGGCGCTGTGGCAGACAAAGCAGTACAGTGCCATTTACATGGATTTTAGCTTCTCTACGCAGTTCAGTGGTCAGCAGTGCTCAGGCTGAGAAACCGTTAGTGCGTTCATATATCTTTTCTCTGGCTGCCTTCATGAGTTTCTCCTTGATTTTGGTTTGCAGCAGTTTAAGTAGAAGTATATGTCTGATAAATATTCTTCCATATTTATCCTGTTGGTCTTCTCTGATCTTGGGTCTGTGGTTTGATATCTCTCATTGATTTTGGAACATTCTTGGCCATTATTTCTTTAAATGTTTTGTCTTTCTTCTCCAATTATTTGTTTTTGGCCATTCAATATTGTTCTGCAGCTCTCGAATTCTTTTTTCTGTTTTGGGGGGGCCTTTCTTTCAGATTCTGTGTGTGTGTGTGTGTGTGTGTGTGTGAGAGAGAGAGAGAGAGAGAGAGAGAGAGAGAGAGAGATTGAGATATTCGGTAATTTCTGTTGATCTGTCTTCAAGTTCACTGATTCTTCCCTTAGCTTTGCCTGATCTACTGAGGAACCATTCAAAGGCAGTCTTCGTCTCTGTTGCTGTTTTTCCTTCCTAGTATTTATTTCCCTTTGATTCTGTCTCATAGTTTCCACGTCTGTGCTGAAAGGATCGCCTGGTCAGGAAGGCGCCCACCTTTCCCACTAGAACCTTCACCGGGCCACTCGTAGGTGTGTTAATTGCCTATCTGGTCATTACAGCACTTGTGCTGTTTCTGAGTCTGATCACTACGATTGCTTTGTCTCTTCCAACTGTGCTGCATCTGCCCGTTTTTTATGCCTCCTGAGCTTTTGTTGCAGGTTGGGTATGTGGAGTAGCACCATTGAGATTGAAGTAACTAGTTTTGAGACCTGAGAATGGCTACACCTCCCTTTCTGCAGCATTGAGGGGGCTGAGTCAGTCTAGTCAGGAGCTGCACTGGATTGGGGTTTTCCTATTGCTGTAATTCCTGCAGACTTCACATTGCTGTGGCACCATGACGCGTGTGTGGGGCGGGAGATGTTATGCTGGAGAGCTTCTCCAGCTCCTGTTCAGCACTCAGCTTCTCTGTGCTGCGCTCAGAGTCCGTCTCCTTCTTGCACCTGGCCAGGAATAGGCCTCCGATGCTGCGACTGGGCTCTGGTGGGCTTGGTGGTGGGGAAAGGCGAGGGGCGGCGTGTGTGGCCGTCCTCATGAACTCCCGGCCGCGGAGCCTCCTCTGCCCCTGCCTTGCTCCAGCTGCACATCTGTGCCCAGGAGGTGCTCCCCGCCTCCCTCTGTCCAGGGTTTTCCTTTCCGTTCACCCCCAAGCTGCACTGGGTTCCACCACGTCCGAGGGCAGCAGGACCCCGCTGCTCTTCTAGCAGTAACTGAAGACCGTTGCCCACAGAGGGGCAGTGGGGCAGGGCCTGGGCTGTGCCGGCTGCCTTTCCAGCGCGGGATGCCCTTCTCCTCCCTCGGGCTCATCGTCAGGATGCGTGCCCTGGCCTCTCGCCCGGACCCTGGGTTTTCTTTCCTCTGCGCACAGTGAGGCCTGTGGAGCAGCGCCTGCGCTGTGCTGAATCCTGTCCCTGTGGCCCAGAGCGGCTTCTGTTTCACCCACTCACACTCAGCCTTTTGTAACGCGTTACAAGTTGTAGCGAAAGCTTTTCACTGGCACCTGCTGGCATTTGTCCCAAGTAAACAAGTGCTTACATCTCACCTCGCCTTTGAGTTGCCTTTCTTTCTTTAGAGTTTTGGGTGAGTTGGGCACCTTGTAACCTCAGCTCTCAGAAAGGCTCAGTTTCCAGGTTATCAGTGTTTTGTTGCTCTGGGGTTGGGAGCAATACTCCTAGCATTCTGTATCCTAAGTGGAAGCCTCCTCCTATGTTTTCGTTAATAAATTTTAAAACTTGGAATAATCTTAGGTTTATAAAAACCAAATGAAAAAGTAGCCTGTGGAAAGGGAGAATATACTTGTAAACCACATACCCTATAAGGTGTTAATTTCCAAAGTAAATGAGGAACTCATGCAACTCGCTAGCAAATAATCAAATAACCCCAAAATGGGCAAAGGACTTGAGTAGACATTTCTCCAAAGAAGACACACAAAGGGCCAACAGACATATGGAAAGGTGCTCTGTATCACTAGTCATCAGGAAGCACCAGGCACAGCCACAGTGAGATATCACCTCACCCCTGTTAGAAAGGCTGTAATCAAGCAATCGAAGGATAACAAACGCTGGTGAGGATGTGGGGGAAAGAGAACCTGTGGATGTGGCTGGGGGGGGGGCATGCACATTCGCGCAGTCATTCTGGGAGGCAGAATGGAGCTTCCGCAGAAAACTAAAATATCCAGCAATTCTACTGCTTGGGTGTGTAGCCAAAAAATAGATAATTACTGTCTTATTGAGATATCTGCGTTGCAGCAATATCACAGTTGCCAAGCTAAGTGTCAATCAACAGATGAGTGGATAAAGAAAATATGGTGTGTGTGTGTATATATATATATATATATAATATATATATATACATATATATTATATATATATGTATAAAATATTGTTATAGAATATTTTTCAGCCTCAAAAAAGAAGGAAATCCTGTCATTTGCAACAAGGTAGCACAAGGAAACATTTTCACTTATTCAAGTATTATGAGTGAGGTACGAGTAATGTACTGTATGCCCCAGGTAGTGACGGTGTTGAATGTGGTGAGTTTGGCTGTGTGCACACCCGCGGAACCATCCCCACAGTCAAGAAGGTGAGCTACGTACCCGTCACCCCCGATGGCCTCCTTGTGTGTCTTTGTCTATTCTGTCCCAGGGCAGTCCCTGATCTGCTTTCGTTCCTATAGGTTAGTTTGAATTTTCTGGAATTTTATATAAATGGAATCGTATAGTTAGGGGAGTGGGTCTGGCTTCTTCCACTTAGCATAATTATTTTGAGACTCATTTACATCATTGTGGGGATCAATACTTTTGTTTCTACTGCCGAGCAGCATGTCATTAGGGTATACCACAGCTTGTTCCGGTTTGGGGCTATTAAAAATTAACTGCTAAGAATATTCCAGTAGAGGTCTTTGCATCTGTGGTTTGCCTCTTCATATTTATCACAGTGTCTTGAAGAACCAAAGGTTTTATTTTCCTTAAGTCCAATTTGTTGATTTTTCTCTCATAATTTCTTCTTTTTGTGTCGTATTTTAGAATTGTTTGCTAAATTCAAGGTTATAAGATTTTCTCCTGTTTTGTTCTGGAAATTTTATAATTTTAGTTTTATGTTTAGCTCTATGATCCATTTTGAGTTAAGTTTTGCATATGGTATGAGGTCAAGGTCATACTTATAAATATGAACATCCATCATCACTTACTGAAAAGGTTATCCTTTCCCCACTGTTTGACTGCAAATTGACTGCATATGTGTGGGTCTGTTTCTGGACCATTTATTCTGTCTTCTGATCTATACGTGATCCCCTGGCCAGTGCCTATACTGCCTGGATTTCTCTTGCTTTATAATAAGCTTGAAATCTGGTTTAGTTAAATCTTCTAAACTTGTTCTTTTTCAAAGTTGTTTTGGCTATTTTAGGTCCTTTGTATTCCCGTATAAGTTGTAGAATCAGCTTGTCAGTTTCCACATAGAAGCTTGCTGGCCTTTGAATTTGGGTTCTTTTGAATCTTAGCTCAGTCTGGGGAGAACTAATGTAACAATATTGAATCTTCATATCTATGAGCACAGTCTATATTTCTGTTTATTTAGGTCTTTAATTTCTCTCAGCGGTGTTTTGTCATTTCTTTTAGTGTACACGTTTACACATCTGGCAAATTTGTCCAAATTTTC